TAAAATTCTCCCAGAAATAGCCCAAGAACTGTGTGGATTTATTGAAGGTAAAGGCACTGTAAATGCCATACATGTCATCAGAACAACGATAGAACGTGCCCTAGAAGTTCAGAAAGATCTTCATTTATGTTTTATAGACTACACCAAGGCATTCGACAAAGTTAGGCACGACAAGATCATCGACATGCTGGAAGTTCTTAATATCGACGAGAAAGACTTAAAGATTATCAAAAACATGTACTGGGATCAAACTGCTGCAATGAGAATAGAAAATGACATCAGCGAATACATACAGATTAAAAGAGGAGTCAGACAGGGATGTGTACTTTCTCCAGACTTGTTCTTTCTGTATAGTGAAAATATCATGAGACGCATAGAAGAAATGCCTGGTATCTCGATATGGGGACATAATATAAACAATCTAAGATATGCAGATGACGCAGTCCTTATAGCAGAAAATGAAGAACACCTGCAGAATCTATTAAATCTCATCGTACAAGAGAGTGACAACATGGGCTTAAGCCTAAACATCAAGAAAACCGAAACGATGGTGATAAGCAGAAAAACTCCAATCTCAACATGCAATATCAAAGTCAACGATACCACCCTCAAGCAAGTACAACATTTTAAATATTTGGGGACCATTATAAAATCAGATGGTAGATGTCACACCGAAATTAAAAGCCGCATTTGCCAAGCAAAAGCAACCTTCCACAAGATGAAACAGATAGTAACAAACATCAATCTGTCACTGGAAACGAGGAAAAGAGTACTGAAAAGTTACATCGAGCCAATCCTATTATACGGTTGCGATGCGTGGACAATCAATAAACTGCTGGAAAAAACAATTGTAGCAACAGAGTTGTGGTTCATAAGACACATGCTACGTATCCCATGGACAGCTAGAAAAACAAATGAAGAAGTCCTGGTTGAAGCAAATTATAGAAAACAACTTATCACGAATATAAGAAAACCGCAGGCAAATTTCTTCGGACCCACAATGCGGAAAAAGAAGCATTAGAGAATATTGTCACAACAGGAAAGTTTGATGGAAAGAGAGGCAGAGGCAGACAGAGGGAAAAGATACTGGACAAGATGACAACGTGGTTGGGAGCAGCAAGAACAACAGACACCATTGCTGCAGCGAAGGACAGGGTGAAGTGGAGGTCCATGATCGCCTACGCCAGTCGGCAAGGCACCCGATGATGATGATGATGATATATACATATAAAGAGAGAGAGAGAGAGAGAGAGAGAGAGAGAGAGAGAGAGAGAGAGAGAGCAAGAGAGAGAGAGAGAGAGAGAGAGAGAGAGAGCAAGAGAGAGAGAGAGAGAGAGTGTGTACCTATAGAGGAATTAATTAGGGGGGGGGGGGATTCTGTTATGACCGTATGACAGGTTGCTGTCTTGGACAGGCTTCCGTTAAGGCAGGTTAGACACCGTGTATAACACACACACACATACATTCACTTACATATTACACACACCGACACCCACAAACTCACATGCACGCATGCACACATGCCACGCACATACACACACACACACACACACACACACACACACACACACACACACACACACACACACAGAGAGAGAGAGAGAGAGAGAGAGAGAGAGAGAGAGAGAGAGAGAGAGAGAGAGAGAGAGAGAGAGAGAGAGAGAGATTCTTCCTTTGTAGATTAAAGGAGAAGACTTAGTGTGTGAGGATGAGAAAGACAGAAAAGAGAAATTAAAAGTAAAACGTTTTAAAAATGTAACATGGAAAGAGAGTAACAATATTGATGTCCTAAGAAAAACTAGATTATGAATAGAGCAAAGAAATTTTCAAATATTGTTGATCTACTTTTGAGATAAAGTATTTTCAAAATGGATCTCATTGGCTAATTTTTGATTATCCTCCCTCCCATTTCAGGTTTCTGTGTGTAAATCCCCATTGCCTTCATCTCCTGTGAGTCAATATGACAGAACAGATCTTGGTGATTCCCATGTTGTCTTTGAGGTGACAGTGACAGACTTGCTTCCGTACACAGACTACATTGTTCATGTCCTCGCTTTCAGTAGAGAGGTCGGTGGTGGTGCCGACAGTGAAGTTACCTTCAAGACAAGTGAGGCTGGTAAGACATGCATACATGACGATAATGTTGTTCTGGTGTTCTTATCTTTGTGAGGCTGGTAAGTCTACTTTTGAAAAGATGTGCGTACATGATGATGTGGTTCTTGTGTTCTTATCTGTGGGAGTGACGGTGGGTTTCAATTTTTTTCATTTGCCAAATTTATTCATTGTCTTCATAAGAGAAGTTTCTTTTAAGGAACTGTTATTTTTTTATTATTAGAAAAGAATCGGATGCCATAATGGACTGTATACGTGGTGCTGTCTAGGAAAGGAATACTGTGTAGTGATTATTCTCTTGTTGTCACCTCTATGCACTTGTTGTCTTCATCTGTCATGATGTTTCCAGCCCAGCAGCAAATACGACATACATTGTTAAATTGTTAAAAAAAAGACTTAATCTTATTATCTTCATGAAAACTTTTTAATTTCCTTAAAAAAGGAACAAACATTCTTTGATTTATTTTTTGATGCACCAGAGAAGCGTGGAGATGCCATTCAAGCTTGTTATCAATTGTTATTCCTAGATATTTGTAAGAATTTACAACCTCCACTTCCTCATCTTTAAAAAATAGTGGTTGCCATTATCAATTCCTTTGTCATTTTAACATTCAGTATAATGAAGTGGTTATCACACTAATTTGTAATTACATTTACAGCGTGCCTGTATTCATTCTAATTTGTTGTTATAAGGCCTTGGAAAGTGGAATCCTTAGGAAATAATATTAGTTTAATTTTTTTGTTGTCCAAAGTACAGTCGTTCGTGTAATGCGTAAACAAGACATGGGAGATTACACAACCTTGAGGTGCACCGTTGTTTGAGAATATTCGATTGTTTCAACATTATCCGGTTCAGTCATTGAGAACACATATCGAAACTGTCGGAATGTTTAGCTTGTTTTTTTGTGAAATAAAATGAGTGGTTGGCGGGTGCTCTGGTGTGGTTTGCTCTTTCTTTCCTTTCAAACATTTATCATCCTGATCTCTCCTCCTTTTCTGTGTTTGTTACTCTCTTGTAATACCCCTAATCTTCAGCACTTATATGACCTTATTGTGTTGCAAGTGCGGTAAAACTCTTACTAAAACTAAGTGAAAAAACCCAGCAAAATAACTGCGCAAGAAACGTTTGTCTCAGCAGTTTAAGAGCACAAATTTGTGTGTTGAGATGACTCTGTCAACATGTGAACGGTTTCTCTTCAGGATTTTGTTGTTTATAGCAGTGTCCTTGTTGTTTTTTCTGTCTGTGATAACACATAGTTTTCAATAAAGCTTCATAAATGTTGTGGACACATTTACATAAATGTTACTATCTCACTCAAAGTTTATAACACAAAGTAGGCCCTCATTCTCTCTGTCTCCAGTTTGCTTTGTTTCCTTGTATGTTACACCATGCTAGATAGAACTAACATATTCCTTTGAAAGAGTTTTCATACTACATAAAAGGTTTTACCTTATTTTTCATTATGTATGGTACTGTTTGTTTTTTGTTGCTTTTTGTTGTTGTTTTTGTTTTTTTGTGGGGGGGGGGGGGGGGTTGGGGGGGGGGGGTCACCTTTCTATTCCTTTATCGGATGAGAACGAGGGTAATTTTACTCTAGTGTTTGAATATTTTTGTGCATTTTTTATATCTTGTTGGTGCGTGATTTTTACTCATGGAGCTAACGAGAGCACACTACGCTGGCTTCTGATTGGCTGTATATAGTGACGTATGTACACATACCAAATTTGATAATACATGTATTAATATGACCTTAGGCCCAATGGAATTGAGTCGGAAATCTAGGTCACCATTGAGCGATCGAGTGTCTGCTGGTGATCTCTATTGTAGAGCAGAAGCCAGACAAAGATCAGTTCAGATCAAAACTGCAGAAGTTCACTTGTTTCTACTCCTAGTGTCAACTATAGGACATATTATTGTTCTAGTGCCTTGTTAATCAAGTCATTGTAAAAAAAGATACGTGTAGTCTAAATGACTCTAGATCTAGTAATACATTTTAGCCAATCAGAAGCCGGGGTAGGCAATCGTCCTTGTGACGTCGTTTCATTGATATCATTTTAGCCGATCAGAAGGCGGTGTAGTGTGGTCTCGTTAGCTCCCTGTGTTTCTTACCCACCGATTGTTTTAAATGAAAGCGTAAGAAATTTCTTTAAATCTTTTGAGTCAAGCAATACTAATTCAAGTCTCTTAAAAATTATTAGTGATATACTATTAGCATTGTACCAAACATTTGTCTTTCTCGTCTTAGCCGCAAGCCCTGTGACAAACGTTGGGCTGGAAAGTCTACCCTTGACCCCTCAGGGAAGGCTGGACCTGAATGTTAGCTGGGTCCCAGGTTATCGGAACGGGGAAACTACCTTCACTGTGGTGATCAAGGAAAAAGAAAGTCTCACCTCAGGGAACTTTATAGTGAAAGAAACACGCATGTTTCGAGGTATAGAATAATTTATTTTGGATTAGTTTTTTTCTTGGTTTCATTTTTGGTTCAATGATATGTATTATACTTTGTTCACGTTGTGTTGTTGTTGTTGTGGTGGTGGTTGTTGTTGTTGGTTCAGTGATGTGTATACCTTGTCCACTTTGTTGTTGAGTTGTTGTTGTTGTTGTTGTTGTTGTTGTTGTTGTTGTTTTTGTTGTTGTTTTGTGTGTGTGTGTTTTTTTTTACCTAGCCCAATGCTATCATCTGGCGCTGTTGTGTTTAGTAATAACAACAAACTGTGTTGCATTTTGGGTTTTGAAATTAACTGTAAGTCTTAGAGTAAACACACAGGAAAACACTTTACATATAAATAAATACATTAATAAATAAGTAAATACATATTATGTTTCTTCACTCTTATAACGTTTTTAGGTAAGTTACACATCTAATTGTTGCCATACCCCCAACTGGAGATGGCTACCACAACTGGTTAGTAGTTAATTATTTAGATCATGTTAGTCCTACATTCCTCAGCTCTTTCGAGTCACGAGGTGGGCACCCTCTGTCCGGCTCCCTAGTGGAGTCATCTTTACCGTGTCACCGAAGTTTCCGAAAGTTTGCACGAAGTCTCATACTATGGGGGTGACTTTGTCAGTATTAGTACCTAAACTACTGGGCTAAGACGAGTTGATAGGGAAAAGATAGAGATGCAAATTTTGCTTGTATGGGGGTAGTGTTTTGTGTTAGCATCAGTATGTTTTGTCTTTTTTAAAATATGTGTGCACTTGCGTTTATGTTAGTCGGAGATTCCCTGTTTAGTAGGCTATGCTTTTATTTCATGGATTGTTTTCAACCGGATTGTTTATCGAAAATGATAAGTACCATGACTTGTGGGTTGACCTGTTGGACGACTCACCGTCTCAGGGCGAGTTTAGTCATCACAATACAATGAATCCACTTTACCCGGGGGAAGCCCCCCTATACTTCCTAACAGTACAGCTCTCCCCAGTTCAACCTTGCATGCTACATGTTTAACACAATTTAAAAAAAAATAATAATGGATAATTTTGATATAACATTTTTTTAACTCTGCAAACAAAAACAAGACAAATAATAATAATAAATGAATAAAATACCATCTGACCCGTTGGTACTCCAAAGTTAGTAATAACACGGGTGTTGTTGTTGGTGGTGGTGGTGGTGGTGGAGGTGGAGGTGGTTCAGGGACGTAAATACTTTATTGGGCCTTATTGTCCGTATTGTTGGGGGTTTTTCAGTAACACGTCCCCTTTGAACATTTAGTCTGAGGGTGGTTGGTGGGTGCTCTGGTGTGGTTTGCTCCTTCTTTCCTATCAGCCTGATTCCGCGTAAAGATTTTTCTGTTGACATCGACCACTTGGCGCTCATATGACCTTAGTTGTGAGCGCCGTAAAGCCTCTCCTTAAAACAAATTCTTTCCTGTCAAATATTTATTGGTGGTTGAATTAAAAGGCAGAGATTTGTTTTGGCTTCCTCGCTTTCGGGCTGTCACTCGCATTGAAAAATTCAGATACAATACGTCCTAAGATTAAAGCACCCGACATCTGCTGTCTTGTTTGCCTTTGAAGTTTGAACTTAACAATCTGTGCATTTAGTGGTCAAAAGTAGTTTATAGTACTCTTCAAGACTGAAGGCTGTGAGGAATAGATCTATAAAGTACTATAGTGTTTTCTTTCTGTTGGTCAGTATGTTCCTCTGCTGTAGATTTTTAAAAAACCCAACTAACTGGCATTACATTTGTCCGGCAAATATGAGGTTAGGTTGGGAGCTGAGATTTGTACAAGTTAGACAACAAGTGTCTTTAGGCCATTCCCAAAGGGGGGAATATAAACATGTTCTTATGCACCGTAGAATTGCAAATGGGCTGATTTATCAGTTTCATTCTCATACTGTGCCGTTACTATCGTCATTTTCCCTCTACTTCTTTCGTATGTTTATCACTCTCTTGTGAACTGCTATTTCCGGGGTACATTGATCGTCGAGGCAGACTTTGTGCTGTTGAGGCTAGAGAGGTGAGCAGAGTAAGCCTGATTCTTCGTTTGGACTTCTCTGTTGGCATCCACTCGTGTCGCTCATATGACCTTATGCAGTTGCGAGCACCGTAATAGCTTTCAAAATTTAAACAGGATCTCCAGTGATGTGGGAATTTTATTCCTTTGACAGATCTGATCTGACATTCAGTACAAGTCGGTCCTTAAGTGATGTCAGTTTTGTCCTTTTGAGGTTTAGTGCAAGTCAATCCTCAAGTTATGTCATAATTGTATTTTTTTCACAGATACATCTGGTGTTACTTCTGACATTCTGGAGAACGTGCTTGGCCACTGGGTCTATGAAGTGACCGTTGAAGCCAAAACCAACGTCGGTATAGCTGTTGTATCAAGTCCTCAGACCATTACAACATTCTACAAACGTAAGTTGATGTGAAACTTGTCAGTGAAAATGGGACATTTTGCTCTTTGAAATTTGGCATGGGTGCATTTATTAAATCTCATTTCTCTATGAGCGATCTTTGATAAGCCTTGTTGTTCTTACTTCCCCAAGACCCAGGACCTGTTACTGCTCTGACGTTGACAAAGAGTACCCAGGTGGCCTCCGACGTTTCCCTGAGCTTTGGTTGTCCAGAGGAAAGAGAAAGAAATGGCGTCATCACAGGCTTTTACATTTCAAATTCGGATGGCGCTAGGGACCCAGTGAGTACATGTTATGTGTCACAACACAGTAGAATCAGGTGCTTGTCAAGTTTGGGGGCATATGGAGTTATTAGTATCACCTTAAAGCTTGTTTTTGCTTTTGAGGAAAAAACAAATACCCATCTTCCTCGAATAGAAGTTGAGATATTTGTGATTGAAGGAGGTGGAGGTTGCCTGGTGTCTGGTGTTAGAGATGCAAATTAACGAGAATGTGGCCGCCAAAGTTGATGACTTCCAACTAGAACAGTTGCTTGCTGAACTTTCTCATTTTTATCAAAAGACAAAGAAAGAAACTGAAAGTCTTTTTGTTTATCCTGAGAGACAATACACAGTGCTTCATCAGTATTCATCACGTTGTTTAGAGCGTGCCACGTTCTGATACTTCCTTCCGTACAACCCCTACCCCCCCCCCTCTTACACACACACAAGATCTCCTCTGTTGATTCTTCCAGGTTGTTGAGTTTGCTCCAGCGACTTACTGCGACAGTGTGTTCCGGCCATCTGTAAAAGTGGTTGTTGGGGAGAGTCCGACAAATTACACGCTCAAGGTCGGTGCAGGGATTTGGAGGACTGTCTTTGTTAAAGTAATAATCATTATAATAGAGATACCATTTGCATAGCCCACATCCCCGCTTGACGGCAAGCTCAGTGTTTAACGGTCTATTACATTTATAGTATTTCTTTACAATCTATAGTAGGGTTAAGGTTACATGTCTGTGGAGTATGCAAAAGGGAGAGTTGGAAAGGGGGCCTCTCAAAACCCAGTATCACAGGAGACAGTCAAGAACATCACCAAATACAACACCAAGGAACAGTGGCTGAATGGATGGGCATTGGGCAAAACTGGAAGAACTATAGTTGCTCATATGACTGCTCCCAACTCAAACGATGCACTAAATTCCCCGAGTAGACGAGAACAAGTCGTAATCTTTCGCCAGTGAAAACAACACATCGCATTGGATTCCTACCTAAGTAGGATCCGCAAGGATACCCCACGTGACTGCCCGCTGTGTGGCTGCCAGAATATTACAGTATCACTCAATCGTTTTACCTGCCATGCATTTAGTGACCTGCGTAGTACTTACCTAGCTGTCTCTCCAGTCGGATGTTGTAGATACTCTATGCCACAACAAAAGGCAGCTGATAAATACCAGTAAATTCTTTGACTTTGGACGGCCGAAGGGTTCGAACTCATTTTGTACCCCCGGGGATGTATTCTTCACATTTTAGAATACTTCTAGTACGAAGACCTCTTTGAAACTTTCAGTTTTCTTAAAAAATCTTTTTGACAGACAGCTGTGCACAGCGTACGGATCGGATTAACTGGTAAATTTCCTCTTTGGAAGTGGTGGCACAGAGTTCCCCTTGTCGTATGGATACGATAGTAAAACAAAACGTACGGATAGGGTTAAAAAGGGGCCCCAGTCTGATCTCGTGCTCTCACTCTTAACCTTGATTTTTTTCAGGTGATGGCTTCAAATGGACAGTATAACAGCAGCTACGTGACGTCAGAAATTGTGATAAGCCCCCTACGTAAGTGAATTCAGTCGGAGAATAGTTTTCTTTTCAAAGTTGCCTATTGTACTTGTACTAAGGTAATGTGTACTGTGGTAATGTGTACTGTGTACTGTGGTAATGTGTTGTACTGTGGTAATGTGTTGTACTGTGGTATGTGTACTGTGGTAATGTGTTGTACTGTGGTAATGTGTACTGTGGTAATGTGTACTGTGGTAATGTGTACTGTGGGAATGTGTACTGTTGGAATGTGTTGTACTGTGGTAATGTGTACTGTGGGAATGTGTACTGTTGGAATGTGTTGTACTGTGGTAATGTTTACTGTGGGGATGTGTACTGTGGTAATGTATACTGCCACCCTCTGTCACAGTGATAATTTCTGGTGTTTCTCACAGCTCTTGCTGCTACTGTGGTTAGTTGAGAAATATGCATTTCACGTCTGGATTCATGATTACCTGAATACAGCAACAAGAAGGCGGATAGAATCACTTGGTAGTATCAAATATATTGGTGTGTAATCAGATTACTGTACCTATTATGATGAAATGCAAATGTACTTACTGCTTTTATGTTGTTGTTTTTTTTTTATTTGTAAGGCATTGTGTGTGTTGACAAAATTTGATAATTTTGAGAGTAAATTCTCTCTCTCTCTATCTGTCTGTTTCTCTCCCTCCCTCTCTCTCTCTCTCTCTCTCTCTCTCTCTCTCTCTCTCTCTCTCTCTCTCTTCTCCCTCTCTCTCCCTCTCTCTCTCTCTCTCTCTCTCTCTCTCTCTCTATCTCTTCTCCCCACCTCCTCGTCGTCGGCATCCACCACCTCCCCCCCCAACACCCACACAAATGAAAGGGTAATGTTAGAACCTTTTCCAGTTGTGAAATATCATTCCAGAACATCTGTACTCAACACCTGTGTGTGTTGTTTACCTTGGTCTGTTGTGTTTATTTTGATCTGATTTCCACCCACAGTCCCTGAAGTGAGTGAATACACGGCTACAGATTTCACGACAGAGTCATCTGCCAGCAAGAACACCCTGACGTCTTTCCCAGTGACTGTGTGTTTGTCTTGTCTCAAAGATTTGAACAACAGACAGGGAAGTTTGACGGAAGTTGTTCTCGCCGTCTGTAAGAATAAGTGTGGAGGCTCTGGGGCAGGTGAGCAGCTCCTGTCTTGAAAAGTGAAAAGTTTTGGGAAAAGAATTCTTTCCTGTCTTGAAAAGTGAAAACTTTTGGGAAAAGAATTCTTTCCTGTCTTGAAAAGTGAATAGTTTTGGGCAAAGAATTATTTCTGTCAAGTAAGGCTGTGGGGCTCACATCGAAAAGGTCGTGGGTCGAAATCCCTCCTGTGACCTGACGTTGTGTCCTTCGGAAAGGCACTTTACACGAATTTTGCTCAATTCATTCAGAGGGAATGGATACCTGAACATCTTGTCAGTATGTTAGTATTTGAGCACTTAATGGACTACTTCTCCGTAATCTTCCAGGATCTTCTTTTCAACATTTTATTTCTGAAACTGGCCACCAGACAACAAATGTCTACATAACAGGGAGGTTAAATAAAATTATTTGATAATTTTGAAGGGCTCTAAGGTGGCTGTCATGTATCAGAAAATATAGTTTTGAGTCAACTGCTGAGTAGCTTGGTGATCATAGTATGAGCACTTTTGGAATTTGTAAATTTAATGTGACTTCACTCGCCTTAATTTGAATCGTCATTCTGTAACTGGTACTTTGTCTGTCTGCCGGGATGTTGTATCCCACTTTGCAGGGTTGAAACAGCCGACCTCCTAAATGGTAAAAATTGTGTCGATGAAGGGTGTGGAACACATTTTTTCAAATGTTATTTGGAGAATGTTCTTGTTTCATCGATGTCACTTTCTTCAACTTCCTAATCTGTTGTAAAAGGTTTTCTCTTTCAGGCCGGAGAAAGCGGGCAGTCGATGTGGACAGATTGAAGACATGGGCCGGGGCTAAATAGGAAGGATTTACTGGCATGTACCGAGCAACTCCTCGGGGCTGGCACCAGGATCTGTTAAGTAAGGCTGGACTTTGGAAACAAATCTACCTAAATATATCCCCCCCTCAGTGGGAAAGGATAAGCCCTCCACTCCACAATAGGAAGTAGGCTACATTAGTAACAAGTGAAGTCATCATCATTATCATCACCATTGCCTTTCTCACCCTGGATCAGGATATAGGCAACGAACAAACACTTTCCACCTTTCCCTATCCTGGGCTAGTCGCTTAATGTCACGCCACGTTTTCCCACTTTTCTGTACATCCATAAATAAGTGAAGTGCCACACTCCAATGGCAGGCGTAGGTGGTGAACTTGTCAGGTGCTTTGCTGTTGCACTCAGGGGACTCGTTTTCGATTGCCGAGTGGGTGAGAATTTTAAATTGAATATCGCATTTTTTTCTGCTGGAATGTTGTATCTCTCTCAGTGCATGGAGGCCGTGACAGGCAGAACTGGAAGCCCTTCTCCTAAACAATTTAAGATTTTGTGATGTGGGTGTAAAAACGCCAATATTAAAAAAACCCACTCAAATGTATCCACTTACTTGTACCTGTGTCAATTTTAAACTCAGTTGCTCTGCAGGTTGGAGCAAGAACTATCTTTGAGATGTGGCAAGGGAACGCAAATAGTAGAAGAGAGAATTTGTTTTCCATCAGTGGTCTCAATAACATTCTGGATTTTATAAAGACTATTGGAATTTATTCCGGAATATAGCTTGCATTATTTCGAGAAGTGTACATTACTGTTTTTAAAACTGAATTCTTTACTTTGAATTTCAAACTATTTACAAAGTAAAACCAAACTGTACTGTGAACTATTGTGAAAAAAACAAACAATTTGAATCTTGCACCCTCATGTCACTTTATGCTGTTGCAAGATCCTTGAAATTCTTACCAAACTGAAACTGAACTTCCTTTTAAAGGATATTTATGTTTAGGGAGGATGTAGTATATACTAAAACAAGAACAAAACATAGCAGGGGGCTCTGTAAGGGTGAAATCCCAACTAGCAAGAAGTCTGTAAGGGTGAAAAGACCAACTGACAAGGGCTCTGTAAGGTAAGGGGGAAAGGATCTACTAACTAGGCCTCTGTAAGGGTGAAAGGATCAATTAACATGGGCTCTGTAAGGGTGAGAAGACCAACTAACAGGGGCTCTGCAAGGGTGAAAGAGCCGTTTGAAAGCTGAGCCATAGAGGGAACAATCTGAAGACCAGGGGCAGAACATTTTATGTGCTAAAGAAGCTGTCTATGAAATATAAAAGAAACAAGTTTGTGAAAATGCAACTTAATTCTATGTTTGCAATTTTAAGTGAGCTGCTTATTATATATTATCAAGAATTTATGAATCAGTTTGGAAATGAATAATTTTTGGACTAGTTTTCACAGCCCTTGTATTTGGTAAAAAAAAACCCACCAAGCACTTTTGCATTTTATGTCATAATTTTTTATTTCCAGGAAAGCCAGGGGGACAATACGTATTCACTGTTGGGGAGGATAACTCGTGTTCTGATACCGGAACTGACTTCTGCAATGGCCCACTTCCTTCTAGAGAAGACTTTCAGTGAGCTCTTCAACTTTTTAAGTTTTTAATCTTACCATGGCAGCCGTCTTAAGCTCATAATGCTCCTTATCACCTGACCATTTGTGACTTGGGTTCTCGTCCTGTTAACTGAGATAGAGTTCGTCGACTTTAAAAAATGAAATTATGCATTTGTTTAAGTTCTCTGTTTATTTTAGAATACGAAAGTATACAGTTGTAATATACCAGCTCAATAGGAACAATAATGTCCCTTTTAAAGGTCTCCAGTGTTGGATTTGTTAATACATTGGAGATTCCAGCATATCTGCAGATAGTTCTTTCTAGGCAATCCCACTATCCCAAAGCAGAATGACGAATGTGACAAAATCAAGTCTTGCCGATATCCTTGTGTAAAAGGCAGAAGTTTTCAAAGTGGTAAATACTATGGAAGTGATTAATTTCAATCCCTTCGTAGATGGCCGAGTGGCATATCCACATTTCCGCATAAGCATTTTTCAAAATCACAAAATGAGCAGTTGCGTCACTCTGCCTTTGGATGACAGACCCCACCCCCCATCCACCCCCCAACACACACAGGCGCACGCACTTTGTTTTGGGGATAGTGCACAGGTGTTGAACTCCCTGTATATCACAAAATTGATCACAGGTATCTCTAAATTAATAATAAGGACACAGTCTGTGTGATATCATTACTTCTTGATATTGAGAAAGACGTTCCAAATAAACAGAGCTGATATACTGTATGTTTTGTCGATAGCCCACAGGTGTTGAAGTCCCTATTTCACAAAACTGATGACACATTTCACTAAATTAATAATAAGGACACAGTCTGTGTGATATCGTTACTGTAAAGGTGTGGGTGGTCAATATCAAACAGCATTGACCACAGACACCTTAATATGAACACAAGGCACAGAACACTACCACACCATGTCGATCAGCCGCTACACGCCAAGTGCAATGACTCTTTTATTGAAGAGCTCTCATCAAGCATGAACAGACGTTTTCCTTGACTTTTATTAATTAGCCAAAACTTTAGGGTAAAACTATAATACTGTAACAATTACTTCTTGATTTTGAGAAAGACTTTCCAAATAAACTGAGCTAAATTAGTGTGTGTTCGTTTCTTTAACAGAGTACTCCTTATCGTGTGCAACGGCGCTGGCTGTGTGGATTACTTAAACGATGATTCTGTCTTTGGAACAACACCTAACAGTAACGGTTGGTGGATTTCTCAGGTTTTAATTTCTTTCTCCTGTTCCAGACTGTAAAATCTTCTATTGTCACTTAACACTTCAATGTTTTTCAGCATGGGCTATGACTTAACACTTCAACGTTCTTCAGGATGGGCTGTCTTGTTGTTTTGTATTTATTTATATATGAATGTAGGCTACTCGTACTGCAAGTTATATTTTGGCAGGAAATAGATAATTGTTGAATTTTGTTTGTTTGTTTTTTTAGTTTTTTTTTTCTATTGACAAAGTTTCTTCTATTTAAGTACAATGGGCAGGCCTTATTCCAACCTGCTTTGACATGTTTCATCACTAACGATCATGAACTGCCCACTTGCAATTAATTGCTGTGACAAAAATATATGTTCTTATGGACCTGACATCCTGGCAAGCAAAGCGAGGAGTCATATCTACAATTTTACCTTTCAGTTTCAGTCTCATGCCACCCACGTCATGTGTTCTCTCTTTTGAGTTTCACTAGAGATAGTCCATGTAGATTCACTTTCAGCAGACTTGAAGAATTTCTATAATAAGAAAAAAAAAGAAAACAGAAGCCCTCATCTGGGATGAAAGAAAAGGCACTTTATCTGTTTTCTGACGTAAACAGTGCAAGACAATCTTGAGAAAATCAGCATCTGGGTGTCACCTGTATTTTTCTGACGTTTCTGCTTCTTCGCTTGCATACTAGTTTGTTGACGATTTGTCAAAAGAAGAATGAATATGATACTTATTTTAAAGTGTCCAAGTTTTGTTTTCACTTTTACATGTCATATACTTGTTTGTTTATATACTCATTTCCAAAAGAAACTTGACATAAAGAATAGTGTTAAATATAAAAATAAACCATTGCAGACATAGGGACAAAATTTTACATATAAAAAGAAGAAGCATTTCAGAATTTGAAAACCTGTATTTTAATGCACATAATACACACTTGGTGCTTCAAGCCCCTCCTGAAATGATAAGGTCTGAATTTTAAAAATCTGAAAATGTGCATTTTTCCACCAAGAAACTTTACATTGACCTAATAATCCTAAATTATGGTTTTCGAAACGTCTTATTGCAAAATACATTGGTACTGGTTAAATCTAAAGCATTTCAAGTTATGTCTGAAAGTTCGGCAGGATTAACATCTTGTGTGACCGCCGCCTGCAGCAATGACGGCGTGGCATCTGCGCCTCGTAGAGTTGACGATGTTGGAAATTTGATGTTGTGGGATAGCGTTCCAAGTGTTGGTTAGGCTTTGAATCAACTGAGCGTTGTTCTGAGAAGCGGCATTCATCTCTTAGATTTGAGGCCCGAGAATATCCCACACATGTTCAATCGGGTTCATGTCGGATGATACTGCTGGCCAGGGATGAATGAAACCGAATTGTTTGTTGTGCGAGGTAAGCTTGTGTCACCCTGGCACGATGGGCTCGAGCGTTGTCCTGTTGTCAGGTGTAGCCTCGATGGTTCTGTACAAACAGTGCCACATGTGGCTACAAGATGGTGGCTACGTAGTTGGCGCTATTTTATGCTGTCGGAGCATGTACCAGTGTCGTCCTGTGGTCTCTTGTGATTCAGCCCCTGACCATCACCTACCCATATCCCCGGTAAGGGATTTCATGTACACACTGGTCAGCAAACCTTTAATTTCGACGGCGATATACTCGCACTCGACCATCGTAGCGACCTAGGACAAATCTAGACTCATCCGTGAAAAGGACCTGAAACGAATAACCGTCTGTGTGCTCACTGGTTGGTGTTGCCGGAGGGTTCTGGCTGTATGCGAAGCAGACTGGAACTTGTCCTGGTGGGTGGTGCATACCGACCCTGTGCCGGGTGGTTATCCGCGGCCTCCCTGATCTTGGCCGGTCTCTTGTACTTCTTGTGTTCATGTACCTGGTCTTCAGACTGTAGATGGTTTCCCTGCTACAGTTAAAAATCCTTGCCACATCCGCCAGGGGAACGCCTGCTTCGAGATGCCCTACAGCGTGCCCCGCTCGTCTGCTCTGAGACGCGGCATGGTTGAAAGTCGACATTTTTCTAGATTTCTGAAGCTCGCAGTTCAAATGCAAACGATGTTTTCATAAACTTTTTACACACCTTTTGTAGGTTTTAATAATAATAATAATAATAAATGACATTTATATAGCGCTCAACCCCGAATAAAGTACACAGGCTCTGAGCGCTTTACAATACAGTACAACATACAACAGTAACATGAAACGTTGTGTTCTGACTAAAGAAAATTATTCCAAATATTCATCTTATTAATTTAAAAACAGAAACGACTTCAGCTGACTTTTGAATGAATCAAAAGATTTGATTTCTCTCAACGTACTTGGTAAAGCATTCCAGATCTTGGGGCCTTGGTATTCAAATGCCCTTTCACCCATTGTTTTAAGTTTCATAGATGGTAAAATAAATTTATTTTTGTCAGCTGATGATCTTAAACTGCGAGTTGGAATGTACAGCCTTAACAGATTTGATAAATATGATGGTGCATTATCATTCAAACATTTGTGACATATGGTGGCCAACTTGTACACATCCTTTTCTCAACAGGAAGCCAATGCAAAGTTCGTAAAAGAGGTTTAGCAGAGTCTCGCTTTCTTTTCCGTAAAACTAAACGTGCTGCATTGTTTTGGACAGTTTGAAGTCTTTTAACTTTCTTCAGTGATATTCCTGATAACAAGGAGTTACAATAATCGAGTTTTGATAAAATTAAGCTAGTTACTAGTAAAGCAGTATACTTGGTATTGATCAGATGACGTATTTTACTAATTTTTCTTATTTCTAAATACATGCAGCTGATCAGATGATTTACCTCAGCCGACATTGACAAACTAGAATCAAAATAGATGCCAAGAATCTTAACTTTTCTTGAAAATAAAAAATTTTCATCCCCAATTTTAATGTGATCATGGTCAACCTTTTTAACAGACTTTGCACTGCCTGCCAGAATGACTTCTGTTTTATTATCATTTAACATCAATTTATTTTTGTTCATCCAGTTTGTGACTAAGGTAATACAATTTTCAGCACGATGGACAAGTTCATCTAAGTTGGTAAATAATGTTGAACCATAAATTTGGGTATCATCAGCATAGAAATGGTACTTTAAGTCATATTTAACTATTTCCTTGACAAGTGGTTGAGTATAAATGGTGAACAAAACTGGACCGAGGACTGAGGCCTGGGGGACCCCATACTTAAGAGCATGATCTGATGACTTTAGCTCTTTAATAAAAACAGATTGGTAACGATTTGATAGGTAAGACGAAAAGCAGCTAAGGGCAGTCCCAGATAATCCAAAAGACACTTCCAATCGCTTCAATGAAATGTGATGGTCAATTGTATCAAAAGCTGCTGATAGATCTAAAAGGCTCA